GGCCAGCTTCGATCAAAAAGATCGACATAGAGAGCCATCCCACAGGGCAAAAGAAGCGACTTGAAACCTTATATAACTAAATTGTTCTCCTCAAACACGTGTGCTCAACAACAGCTCCCTCACGCCTCCTCTCTTTCACACACCCACTACCACAGGTTTACATTTTTCCCCCAAGCCCTTTGCACCAGAAGGTTGGCAGGTAGGCTCAATCATGAACCCTGAATGAAAGCAACTGGAAGAGCCAAACGAGGAACATGTGCTAAGCCCCCAAGTGCAATGAAGGATGCCACATTCAGATTGTTGAGAGCCCCACCCCGCCAAAACTTATATCGATCACAATTTTCACATTGCGCAGTACATTCCACAGCTCACAGCAGTGCTTTGTTTTGGCAACTTGCGTCTACTTCCTGATGACGTGGGGTGGAAACCACCCTGGTGGGAGGATACGGGAACAATACGGACCAACAGTTGCCGGAAACATGCCACGCCAGGAACGCAATCCCAAGAGGCCTGACAGTACCAGGCCCGATGTGGGAGGGCTTCGCAAGTGAAGCCACATGAAGATGTTCCAAGCTCTTTCAGCTACCCTGCTCAGGTCCTTTTGGATGCCGGATTACAACTATCACTACGAAATCCCAGAGGCAAATGTGGAGGCCAAACGTGTACGACGAGTGCCGATTGTATTGTTTATTTTTTGTCCCGTCGTTTTTGCTGTTGCTTTTGGGGGAGCTGAGGGGAGGAAGCTGCATACAAACTGCATTTCTAACTGTATAGAGGGTATAGCTATGTATAGCTCAAGAGAAAGATAATCTAACGTAGAAGAATCTTCACTGTAAAAGTCACGGTTCCTAGATTTGAGGGGAATCTGGAAACACCGAAGTAGTAGAACAAGCGAGGTGTAAGCAGACACAGGGTAGTTTCATCCTGGACAGGGTCGAAATCAAACATTTGCGTCTCCGGAGGGGTCCATCATCTCCAGATGCGTCTCCGGCGGCCTTTTCAGGTCATAGCGCTTGACACCAATGCGAAAATCGACCCCAACCAAATCGCTGGCAACGCGCCTGCCCCTTGGAGCCTGCCATCCATTCGTGCGATTCATGCCACCAATATTTACGCAGCAAGCTTTGCCCCATCCCTTTCTGCAGGAAGGCCCGGGGTCTTGCCGATGCGTTGTGCGGAGGCCAGCTGGTGCCAGCCCGACTCATGTCAGGATGTCAACTTTGCAAGGTGAAAACTTCCGATCAAGCATGGTTCAGCAATATTGAACTATACTATTTCCATACTGAGCTTATAGGTGTATATATATATACATGCAAACAATATATATATATACATATAATTAGTCAGTGTGTCGCCAGCACTGTCCATGTGAAAGATTCAGAGGCTCTCTTTGTGTGAATGGTTCTCGATGCTGTGAGAGAGAATGTCAGAGGCCGTGATGTCTCTCAGAACTTCCTAGAGGCACTGGCCAAGGCCAAGGCTCAAGATGTGACTCGAATAGCATGGAATAGCTGACCCATAAAGGACCAGATGGTCAACGCCTCGCAGGCCGGCGAGGCCCTTGTGCTCGAGAGGGCCAAGCTTAGCACTGTGGGCACCCCAGGGTCGCATCCCAGGTCGAAGGATTTGGCTATTCTGGTTGCTCAATGTATTCAAATGTCAAAGATATCAAGTTGTATTTTCAAGATGTGTCGACAGAGATGTTACTTCCAAAACAACTGTCGAGCTTTTGGAAGGAGATTTCTTTCTTGATCTGGGGTGGCATGTGGTGGTCATGGGCCACACTGAAAGTACTAGACCCAAGAGTCTTAAATCCACAATCATCCCTGCATGGATTTTGCATGAAAGCCGTCAAACGATGAAACGGTAAAGGCAACTTTGACCTGAAACACGGTATGCCTTCTGAGATTTTTCTTTTTGCTAATTGGTGCAGCCCATGTTCTTGATTGCTGGCTGCTGTTGTGTGGTATTCGCTTGATTGCCCCAAGTCCACAGAAGTATTTCTCGACAAAGAATCGTCCGGCACGTCTGGATGGTTTAACACAGTTTCGCATCACCAAAACCTGTCGGAGAGACATGGTGCCGCCAGGTGTACAATAACTATGCAACCGGTGTGTATATATATATAGTGTACCGTTATGTGTTACATAGAAAGGCACCCGTCTTATTTATACTTCGTTCTGTTAATAAAGCACCTTTCCATGGTCCTTCCCACAAGGCGGCGCTGCGCTGAAACTGGTTGACACCACCTGCTCAGCCAGCCTCTATTCATCCATCCTCCAAGTCTGAAATCTGATTGCACCGTCAGCATTCTCTTCGTCTCTGTCTCCCTCCCGGTGTCTGCATATATATATATACATACACATATGATGCACGTGGGTTTGTGTGCACACCGCCAGTGGTTACGCGTCTATGTCATTGATGCACTGCAGCTTTTTCTGTGGTGTTTCTTGCCATGCAATTGAGCAACTTCCTCTTGGGCCGAGGCGACCACCATCCTGATGATACAGCACTATCCTGGCTGGTGTCCACGTGCATTGTTTGAGAATGTGGGTGCCTCAGGACAGCATTTTTTGGCTTATGAGGTGCGTTCTGCGATTGCTCACCCAGTTTGTCAAAAGTTCAACCATTTGTTTGGACAATTTGCCCAACCAATCCTCCATTGAGGCGCTTCCTCCTGAGCGTAGGGGGAAGGCCGTAGGGGCAAGGGCGTTGAGATCTTGTCAGTTCGGGTGCTTCAGCAAGCCCATGATTGCATTGATTGGCTGAATCGTTGTTTGGTTTAAGTTTGGAAGTTTAGTCCTGAGATTTCTGCTTGATTGTGTGTTTGCGCTTGATCCTTTGCTGGCTCAAAGCTAGTGTAGGTCCTTTGTTTTGAACGGGCCATGTGCTCTGGAAAGAGCCGGAGAATTGATGTGATCCTACAGTTGCACCTGACATGGACAACCACGCAGCAGATACAAACGTGCCAGTTTGCAAATTGCCTTGCCCGGCCCGCCTTGCCTTCCTGCCATCCCTTTCACCTTGTGCCCCGATGGCGTCTTTGGCTAACCTGCCCGGCCTAGTGCCTGCCGGGCCTGCCGCCAATGCAGAGTTTGCACCAGTTCTCACCGTTCCGTCTCGTCATCGCCTTCTGCTGAAGGACCGGTCAGAACTATAATATCTATCTGTCTATTATCTATCTATCTGAATCTCTCCGGTCCAGTTATTAAATATAGTTTCTTTTTAGCCAGGACAGCCGCAATGTTCGAATTCAAGATGCCGAGAAGAAATCATGGCAGGTGCAAGGAGCCCAGCAAACAGGCGTTCGAATTGAGACGTGCCACGGGCGTCGCCACGTTGCAAGGCTATCTTTCAGTGAGAGTTTGGCACTGGATCAGTGCGCTGGCACATGCCTGTTAGGGGCTGCTGGGTGGGGACATTTAAGGACAACACGCCATCACACCACACCTTTTGGATTTGCTATTGCACCGAGGTACTTAATGGAGAGCCCGGACAAGAAATCATGGAAGATACCAAATAGTTCTTGCAGAATTGGTTTCAATGATGCCGGGGTCTTCTATCAGCAGGAGCAGCGGACATACACCTGTCAAAGCTTGAGATTGATGGCCGAAAATGGCAAAGACATGTAAAGACAGTGGTGCAGACGCAGGATCACAAGAAGCGATACTTCGGTATGTTGGAAACTGCGGCACGCCATCTTGTCCCAACCGCCTATGTCTTAGTGTGTGCCATGCCTTCTGTTATCAGTTGCATGAGCTGCGAACTTGACTCAGGTGGCAACAACCGAAGCAATACCATTGTACCACAAGAGGCAATCCGATAATCCAATTATCGACAAGTTGGAGGAGAAAGTGAAAACCATCACTGACGAGATGAGGGGGAAGGCCAGATGGGTCCTACTCTCCTTGCATAGCTGATCCCATGGGTTCGCTCCTTCCGAAGCCTCAGGTGATTCGGTCCACTTTCCGTGCAGCAGATACCAACAAGAATGGAACCCTGAGCCTCCTGGCCAGCAGATATAGTATATAGTTTTTCGCGAAGACAACGTTGTGGCTCTAACAAAGTGGACTTACAGACCTATTTGGGTCAACTGTGTTCCAGAGCACTGCTAGGGAAACCCGTGGATCCCCATGGTTTCGATACACCCTAACTCACCTGGACTGGAATCACCTGGATCTCGCTAGAGCCAGGCTTTTAATCAAAACTTTTCGCCTGAATCCTTGACATGCTGGAACTCTACAAACAATTTTAGATCATAGCTATTCAATTCTTTTTTGACCTAGAGCCCTGTAACCATGAAACCCTGGACACTTGAAACCAGGTGTTGATCACACCATATCGCAACTTTTTGCCTGGAAGCTGTAACTCTGGAACCAGGCCTTGATCGCAACTTTCTTTTACGTTCTGGCGCCATCCTTTGATCCCATCGCTTGTCTAGCCGTACCTATGTTACATTCGGTGCGTTTTATAAGTGTTCTTACCCAACGATCAGATATCCAAGAGCACAATCTGGACATCTTTAGGGTCCATGCAGCTTAACATGTTAGCAAGCGAGGCCGGCACGAGATCGGCACCTTGATTCGGCGACTGGTGGCAACCTGAGACCACGAGACGAGTGTCGTGGCTGTGTCCACTCCTTGGGACTGTGTCGATCGGAGCGGTGGTGACAGGCTGTTACGGCCACAACTGCAGAGATCGAGGAGCTGATGCGAGAGGCTGGCCGAACATGTCTACGCTGTCAGTATGGTGAACTTGGGATGACGGTTTAGGGCTTTTTGTGAATAGCCAGCGTAAAGTGTAAAACAATTCTCAAGCGTGCCTGGTTCTTTGGCAGAGTTCCGCTTGCCTTTGTCCGATTCAGACGGTTTGGTTTGCTGCCTATGCTTGGAGACTTACCTAAAGAGTCCTAGAGACCTTTTTAATTGACACAAATACCTACATCAATTACTTGTATATTGGTCGTCGCATTTCCTATATAGGATTTGTTTGACATAGGCGGCCGCAAGACTTGTTTGCCAAATTTGCACTTGACTCTCTTGCTCTAAGTTTCCGATGTTCTGTGCAGGTTTAAAAGACCAAGAAAGATACTAAGATACTTCAAACGGTGAGACGCCACCACGCAAGACTCAATCGCATCATCAATATCCATCCAACACGGGAGATGTTGGCTTGTTTGGTGCCTTGGTGCCAGCTCCTTTCTTTCAGCTGGATCCGTTTGTACCAGGCGGATGCCAACCGGGACGGTCAGATCGACTACGAGGAATTTTGCGTTTGGGACCTCAGGGGGTCGAAGATGCAATGCAGTATGCAACGCATTGATCTCGGTGATATACTCTGTAGCCTATCACTATCTATCACTACTTCCCCCAAGATCACTTGATTTTGTGGACTGCGCCTTCTGTCTTGCCGAGAACTGGTTGATGATCACCAACCGTGGAGTCATGCACAGGAAGGTCCAAGAGTCGTTAAGCGCCCAGCTTTGTGGGAGGCGTCCGTAAGCCTCGACCCATACCTTGCTACCTTGCAAGGTAGGGACATCAAGTGCAGCTTCAAGAGTATACCATTATATTATGTCATAGCACATGCCATAGTAAACGCCATAGTATACCTAGAGTCTAGAGTCGAAAGTCTGCACCAAGTGTTGTGGCAGGTACTTCAGCTGATGTGGTGAGGCCTTTTTGGACATTTTTGGACTTCTTTTACCATCTTATACCTACGTACTGCATCCATTTTGCAATTCTTCGTGCGTCCTACCAAGACATCAAGCTGAGGGCTTCGTTCCGCGCCTGGGATGCCAACGGCAACGGCTTGATCTCTCAGGTGGGATTTGGCCGAGAACCAGCACCGAATGCAGTATGACGATGTATGAAGCAGTCCTTGGATTATCAGAAACCCAGCGCCAAATGCAGTCCTTGTATTTGGTTTTTTGATGGTTTCTGCCTGCATTTGGACCCCTGGAGAGCTCGTTTCAGGCCGAAGTTCAGAAAGTCTTGCGGGAGGCCTGCGGCTTGACCCAGAAGGCGCAGATGAGCTCCAAATCTGAAGAACCTATTAGACCTCAGACAGCCCTTTGTACGTTATGGCAACATTTTCCGAAGGAATGCGAAATTCTGGCCAGTGTGATGGACACCGATGATGATGGTCAAATAGACTACGATGAATTCGTTGCGTTCCTATACCCGCCTGAACGCTGAACTTCACTTGATTGCCCATCCGGCTTTTGCCGCGCGGGACGCCCACCAGTTAGCTGCCGAATGGCTGAGCTGAGACACCTCTCAATCTGCAAAGCAGTTGAGAGCAAATGTGGCCTGTATTGGAAAAGTCTCGCATCCAGCTTCTCTCAAGGATGCAACTGAACCGCATCACACTCAGCTGGTTTTTCGAGACTTGCTATGACTTGCTATTGCTAGGTGCGATTGATTTGCGCGTACGGACACGTCCACGATCAGAAGTGTGTTGTGTCCCTATGATGCTCGCTTAGCCGCTTCGTGTGGGGTTCTCCATTGGTCTTGCTTTGCGACAAACATTTCAATGCCTCGCCAGTGTGGGGTTGGGTCAGGAACGTCACATATTTTTTGTCTCCTGAATAGCTTCTAGTCTGAGAGCGAAGATGTTGAACCTTGCTGTGCAGATTTCAGTCCCGATCCAGCGCCTGGAAGTGGAATTGTCCGCCAGGAAGGGCCCTCAGGGGTGCATGGATGTGCTATCTGGTGGTGGAGGAGGCTGTTGCGGCCCAAAGGCATGGGGCACAGCTCCAACAGTACTGTAGATTGTAGTGAAAGCAGGGCCCACTCTTTTGTGGTTTGGGTGGGGCCAAATCATTCCCCAGTGCCTCTATACATCTGAGCTGTTTTGGAGTGCGGGTGTCGGCAGGTGAACCTCGCCGGTTTCACCGCAGTGCACTTGGACGATGCAGGTGGAGCTTGGGTGGATGTGGAGAGCCCTGCTGTCACTTGGAAGATCCTGGAAGTATGAAAGATTATGAAACAACCATGTTCATGTGACGGAGAGGCCATTGCTAGTAGGTTGGAGGCCATTGCCAGAGCTAAAGCATGCTAAAGCTAAGGTGCGGATGGAAAAGGACACTTGCTCGTGGTGAGCTCAGCCACCGTGGCTGCGACCTTTGCGGGACAAATGACCTTGGGACTGCACAAATCGGTGAACTGACAATGCTGGGAGCATTTGTTCTTCCGGCTTGTCCGCCCAAGCTCTAAGTCGAATTCCAGCAAAGGCTGGCATGGAATGTTTGTATAGTGGTGTGCAATCATAGCCGAATTGCTTTTGCAGGGTCATTGAGTATTCACATCCAATTGCACTGCTTCCAATAATGATTTTTCAATTGCGTTTTGATGCGTGCTGCAGATTTTACACCGCTAACATCTTTGCACAGCATACGCGCAAAAAGGTGGGCGCCGACAATCGGAGCCAACCGTTCACTTAAGGTGGTCAATTCGACTTCGCCAACTGTGCGTGTGATGGACAAAGTTTCTTTCGGACTGTGTAGGACCAGTCGCAAGGCATGCGCGGCATGCGGCGGAAAGACACAGCGTGCGTGATGCCTACGCTTTGCTCTCTCCTTTTTTTTTAACGCAACCCATCCTTACGATGCCAGAATATGTAATTTGTTTATATATGCTATACTATACGTATCCTAACTAGGGGTGTATCACTACAGATCATCACACATGTCCTCAAATCAGGAAGAGCCGCAAATCAAGGGAAACACGAAAGATATCCAAAGTTCACCCAACATCTCGGTAGAAGTCGCCCCACTTGCAGCGGACACACGACACATCTCCGCAGGACATTCCACTGCACTTTTGCACACACTCTGACATTGGTTTTCAGTTACACTCAGTTCCCAAGCTGAGAAGGAAGGTGAGAGAACGGAAAGGTGGCAGAGTCCGCGGAAAAGTATTGTTTAACATTGTTCACCAGTGCACTTTAGTTAACTACGATTACTGCAATTTAGACCTTGACTGAAAAAGAAGTGCTGAGTCCGTCGAACAGTATTGTTGAAAAACGTCGAGTTAAACAATTGAAAGGCAGGTACGTCAGTGCTGGCCGGGCACTGATATCACATCCACTTGGTGCGGTCTTTGTTAGATGAGGCACACCAAGGGATCCTCATCCCCCTGCTTTAAATTAAATTGAACCCTTGGAAACAGGGTTTGGCACACACACGGTGCCGCTTCGCGGCGCGCATGTGAAAGACCTGAATAGTCACCTAAAAAGCCTTAGAAACAAAAGAAAAGAAAGACAGAAAGAGCAGCGCTAAGAGGGCAAGAAAGAAAGGTAGGTGTAGAAAAGTGAATACTTAGCCCTTGACTGGGGTAGGGAAACGAGCCTCAAGAGCAACCTAGAAAGCCTGAGAGAAAGCCCAACAAACGACGAAAAGCGCAAGAAGGAAAGCGGGGGGGCAGGGAGGGGCTGTATGTCCATGTGTGTGTACATGTGTGTGTCTGAATACCTAGCACTCTAGAGTTACTGATTACTTAGCAGAGATGAAGTAAGTGCGATAGCTAGGGAGCGGGACTTAGACCGCCCGGGTAGGAAAGACCAGAACAGGAACAACACAGGGAAAGGCACCGACACACAAGTGTGTCGAGTACCATTTCCCTATGTTGCCCTAATTAGGTGGGGAGTAGAACTCGGCTGGGGGGGGGGTTGGGAAACCTGCCTGACTGCATGACTGCAAGGGGAGTACCGTTTTATAGCCCGGCGGCTGTGGTGGTTCACCGTTTTTTGGCCCGGCGGCCGTTGTGGCAGTTAATTCGTTGGAAGTGGAGGTGAATTCCAGTGAAGTTCCGGTGAGCGGTAGTGAGTTCCGTTAAAGATTTCCCAATGAAACAGCGCCCCAGTGACGGGGATCACACTCAGCACCCGAGTGGGACGGCTGAGCGAAACACACTCTGACATTGGTTTTCAGTTACACTCAGTTCCCAAGCTGAGAAGGAAGGTGAGAGAACGGAAAGGTGGCAGAGTCCGCGGAAAAGTATTGTTTAACATTGTTCACCAGTGCACTTTAGTTAACTACGACTACTGCAATTTAGACCTTGACTGAAAAAGAAGTGCTGAGTCCGTCGAACAGTATTGTTGAAAAACGTCGAGTTAAACAATTGAAAGGCAGGTACGTCAGTGCTGGCCGGGCACTGATATCACATCCACTTGGTGCGGTCTTTGTTAGATGAGGCACACCAAGGGATCCTCATCCCCCTGCTTTAAATTAAATTGAACCCTTGGAAACAGGGTTTGGCACACACACACACAAACAACAGCATTGCACCAGACCACGCTTCACAACGGCACTGCAAGAAAATGTGTAGAAAGGTTGATGGTGATTCTAGAAGCTTCACCAGCCTAGGATGGCGAAAGAGGCCACCAGCCTTCCAGCATCACCTCGTACTGGTAGCAAGCATTGGCACGGACGAGATCACAAGAGTCACAAGAAACACAAACGCACCAGCCCACCAGCCCCAAAAAATGCCACCGCAGCTGCACAGCTGTGGGAGTCCCACCCTTGACCCTTCCGGAGATCCGTCACGAGACTGGACGACTCGACGGTCTTCCTCTCTTTCGAGGCATAGGAAAGTAGAGAACCATGAGTGTGCTTTGTGCTGCAGCCACACAGGGGCTCCAAGGCGCAACCCCCCAAAGCAATGGGGTGTGGAGCTTCCGCAGAGCCTGTCCAAGTGGCAGTTTGTCCGCCGGTCCCTCCAAAGCCGACGGTGGAGGTCAAACATGAAGGCTGGATTTGGTTGAAGTAGACAGTTTCATTGTTTCAATGATGCCACAGCCTGCAGATAGTGTCTTGGGGGTGCTGGTGAGATCAGAGATCCGCCAATGCATGAAGGCAATGATGCAGGAAATGCAAAAGAACCAGAGGCCAAGTTGCCAGAAGGTGACTACTCTGAGAAGTGGCCAAATCTTTGTGATCCAGACCAGGACATGAGAAATAGCTGAGAGAAGAGTCCAATGAGTGAACCTTTCTGACCCGACAGGAGTTTAATCTCTTGGACTACGTGTTTTGCTTGCCAGAGGGGATCTGGCCTTAGTGGTGGAAGAGCAACACCTCCAAACCTTTTTTTAATTGTTTTGTTGAGTCGAATGAGTCGAATGTAGCACAATGTAGCTCCTGGATGTTCCTGGGCACTTTTTTCCTTGGCGACGTGAAGGATCTCCTTCATGGCGAGGAACTGAAAGACCACCATCTTCGGTGTAAGATTGACTGATAACGGCGACACCAAACATGACAACCAGAAGCGGCATGACTTCCTGTACTGCAAATCTTGAAGTTGTCCACAAGTCAGTGACGTGAATTTTAATCATCAGATCTTCTCAGGAAGGGGAGCTCTGCCACCATGCTGATGATCCCCAAGCCAAGCTATTTGACCGAAGAGGACAGAGAGTAATGAGATGTTACGAGTCGATTCAGCAGGGACATGCTGGGGACTCTTGGGATTCAAGAGGAGTACCGCTCCTGGAAGTGGAGCTTTGAAAAAGAAAGGAACATCAAGATGATCGCGCCGAAAGCAGGACTTGCTGGTGACTATGCTTGTGCTATGACTTGTGAGTGTCTTACTTGCTAGTTCAGCTTTATGACTTGTGTTGGGGGCTGCACAGGAGCTCGGGATCGGAAATGCTCCTTTGAACAGGTGGAACTCAATGGAAAGCCGGCTTTCCGATCTGACCGGTTCTTCTCCGATTTCCACATCACTGCTGATGGTGCCTTATTCTAACAAATAGCCGAGTTAGACCCAACTGCAGCTGATGTTTTATCGATGTCTGGCGTTGCATCCAGCTGGATCTCTGTGATCCATGCAGGAATGGAGTTCCGGTGCCGAAAAGAGCCTGAGCGGGCATTGTTGGTTCACCGAACCTTGGACTTGGAGGGGAACGTCTATTGGAAAAGCGATGGCCATCTTTGTGACGATCTTCATGGGATGCTCTTTACGGTTGCCCAGTGGAAAGCAGATGACCAAGTGCTGGAAATAGATGGAAAAGAGGTTGCCAAGGCCATTTTGTAACGTGAGCACCCTCGTGACTCACAAAAAGGACTGAGTGGCTAAACACGGACTTAGTTAGCCGGTCAGGACAAACTTACGGTGTCAACTGAGGATGACCGCAGGATTTCCGTGTCAAAGTCTCTCATTTTCACGGTAGGATTGAGATCCAGCACGTTGGTACAAACCACTTCAACATAGATCTGTGTTTTTATGACAATTTTATTACAACCATTGGGTTGGATTGCATTTGAAAAACATAATTTGTAATTTTATCGTATTGTTTTCATAAATTCCGGCGTTAAATAGCACAACACATTAAATGCAAATAAAATGTACAAACAGTCCTGGATTCATTAAAAAAAGTGGCACCATTTTTCATCAAATCTTAACTAAAAAAATAATCCTGTTGTTTTCACAAATTTCCAGACTCTGAAAAAATACTTCCAAAATCCGTTTACGTATCTTGAAACATGGTATGGCAATGGTATGGACAAATTTATGTTTTGTTCACAGGGCTAATATGTTTTTACCCTTTTTGTTTGTTCTTCATGATTTCATAACTTTGGTGGTATTGGTGTTATTAATAAAGTCTTTGTGATTTGGCCTCATACCAGACTTGTTAGGTCCCGTAGGATTTACTGCAGCCGTTGGAGGTGACCATGGAGAACTATTTTTGCCCTGACTTCTTCCTAGCCTGCTACTTCTGCTGCCGCGGTGAGCCCGAGCTTTGCGACTACGTCTTGCTGAGTGCCAAAGCGCAGAAAGAACGAGATGAGTTGAACAAGAAGGCCATGCAGGCGCGGCCACAGAGCTGGAGGGAACAGCCGAGTTGTTTTGTTCCCAAATTATGCTAGTCTGGGGCTCTTGCCATACACCCTGCGCTTTGCTGCTCTCCGCGCACACCAACTTCCACACACACCAACTCACATGCACCAACTCATTACACCAACTTACGCACGCACACACTTCGACAATTTGTATTCAGTTAGCTCAAATTCTCTGATGGGAAGGATGGCGAAGAAACGCAAGGTGGAAAAGTCAGCTGAAACAGTATGGTTGAACATGGTTTCCAATCGTACTCGAAAGACGCGGCTGCAAAGCTGTGCAATCAAACCGGCGGCGCAGCTGCTGGGGACGAGTGCGTTTGGGGGAAGTATCGTGAAGAACCATGGAATCAAACAAAGCAAATGAGACAGCGTGGTCAAAAGTTCAGGTTGCAGGTACGTCGAAAGAGCGTCCTCTTTCGATATCCTAGTCTGAACCTGGAGCTTCGTTGGCTCACGCCAGGAACAGACCCGTGAGCCCCCTGCCCATGTAAAGTGGAAAGAGTGGTGGTGAAAGACCCTTTGTCCAGGGTTGGACACACACACACACACTTGAGAAGGATGCTTGCAAGAGCATAATTCAGGGTACGCTTTACGATCTGTTTATTGCGATACCTGTCTAGTGCAAAATTACGACCTCATAAACCTGCAATGGCCCTGAGGAAACGGAAGGGCGAGAGTCAGGAACAATATATTAATATGATTTACAAGTTTACATCATGCAAGACGAGTGGACCTAGACAATACAACTGCAAGGTGCAAAGTCGGCAGCAATTTGGCTTGACATACATGAGCCAAATCAATGCGACGGAATCATTGGAGTCAGTATGTTCTTTTGCAGGTGCAGGATCAAGCGTCCTGAATCCCGTCCAATTTGCGATCATAGCTTCGTTGCGTGCAGTAGATCACAAGTGCTGCACACCCCTGACAGCAGTTCTCCTGGCAGCGAGGTTCCCCCCCTGTACACACTAACTTATACGTACACCACGTCACTCACACCAACTTACACACACCAACTCATTCAGACAAACAGTGACTCGCAACGCAAATCACACCAACTCACCATCTGCTTGTTTGTGCTGCCGGCGTCATTAGTGACCCCTGCGTTCCGGACCATTTGACCGTGGGGAGGTGGGGGGGGGCTAACTCCGTCTTGTTGTGTGGCTCCTGACCGTGCTACTAGGAGCAAGGACGCTACTACGGGCTCCTGGCCGTACTAGTAGGAGCAAGGACGCTACTACGACCGCTACTAGGCGCTCCTGGCCGTACTACTAGATTGCCTTACGAGTTTCAGAATAGTGGCTTCAGGGATGGCTGAGCTGTTTCGGCTGCGCGGAAGGCTCAATAAAGTGTTGCGTGGACAGACAGTGAGAACAGGAACACAAGTCATGGATCGTGTCTGGGGACATCTCAAGTCGTACGTCCCGAAGTCTCTCCATGCCAAAACTTCCAAAGGACCAAACCCGCACATCTGCGTCTGCTTCGCGGAAGTCAAAAGACGCCGGCTGCGCAGCTTTTCCAAATGTTCATTTTGACTTCAAAAACTGCGAGGGTCAATGATTTCTCTTCAGCAAACGTTCTTGTCATCGTAAAAGATGAGGGGGTCTAAATTGACCCACTCGCACGTCGTATATCCAATGCGTGGGAGCATTCTTGCAGGGCCTGTTATGGTAAAAACCATGCGAAAATAACGTCATGAAAGCATGAATGAAACGCAAAGCCCTGCGTTTTCCCATGGATTCTTGGTTTTCATGCATGATGGGAACTGCTCAAAGCCACAGGGTCGTTAACAACGCCGGCACCTTGTTTCTTCCGCTTTCTAATGCAAAGGTAAACTGGACATGTGGGGTTTTCCAGTTCTTTGATTTGTTCTTATTAGGGAAGTCCTTTTGGCTTGCTCTTTGGCTCTTTGGCCTGCTTGGTGAGGCCATCGAAAAGTCTGGTGGCCGAGACATCCGACAGCAGCTTGAAGCAAGGCGGAAGGAGGAGGAAGAGAGAGTGGAGAAAGAGAAGAGAGAAGCCCTGGCAGCGCGCAAGGCGATTTAAGTGGTTTAAAGACTAAGGATCAGGTTTAATTTTTCTTGGAGGACGGAAAGGCATGAGAGGGCACAACAATGATCGATGCTTGTAATTTGATTGCCACTAAGTTTCGATCTTTTTGTCACGATGCAGAGGCCACGGCACCAAGTGGAGGGCATGGATCCGGCACACCAGCACCAGCAAAGTGGTGGGTTTGCCAGCTTCACGGCTTTCGTATTTTTTCTCAAGCTAGCAGCTGGATGATGTACTGTTTAAACTACTGTTTAATGTTGTTTAATTATGTACAGCTATGCACAGCTATGCATAACTATGTAGTCCTATGTATTGGGTTCACACTGCTGCGCCCGTGTTTTGGGAACACTCAATCCGAAACACCAGTTTGACCAGTTCATCCCTTTGTTTACCTTATGTTCCTTCAATTCTGCCTGTATCACCCTTGTGGTCGTGGTCCACATGAAGGATATTCAAGTGTGATACTGTAAATACATGTACATACTTTTCCAAGCCATTGAAGCACGGATTTCCATGCGCAGGCCCCGAAAGGCAATGACAATGTTTTGACTCGAGCTGCGGCCTCACAGGGCATCGCGGCATGATCCAAAGTTTGTTCCCAGTGTTCGACAAGATTTTGTCCGGCCGGATGGACTTTCGGATAATGCCAGTATGCGACCCGTGGTGCCCAGTGCGACATGCCCCAGCATAGTTCACCTAGCAGCAAGCAACACAGGCCTGGCAGTGACAGCCTGCGATTGAACAGATTGAGGCGGTGGTTCGAACATGCACTCAATATGTGCAACACATGCATTGCTGCATTGTCATTCTCATCCAAGCTTGCCATGGAGCCTATCGCTGAAATGCGGCGCAGTTTTTCAGACCAAAGGACATTCTAAGGCATTCTGAATTCTTGCCAAACTTCTAAAGCCTGCAATTCAAGATGAAAGAACCGTCCGCAGAACCCACAAACAAAAGGGATCAAAATGGTCAGGCTGAAGCTAAGGGCATGTAACACTCGTGCCATGGTGACACATAGTAGCATGTTCGGGTGTGACATATGTATATATATATATATGTGTGTGTTATAAGTGGCGATGTTGATTCAGAGCTTTGCAGCTGAGTGCCTCACTCGCGTGCCGAGGAAGTGTGGGTGGAAATATGCACAAGCGTGCAAGCCCTTCCAAGGCAAGTGCACCGTCTCGAGGGGCACAGCATGCGGTGGCCCAGTAGTGCTGAAGTGAGACGGCTCTGAGCTTGGCACTTAGTGCTGAAGTGAGCGACGGGAGCATGACAAAGCTATTGCTCATGATTCTTGTGCTGCTGGGTGCTTGGCGGAAAGCTGACCAGATTCAAGCGTGCGCTGATGTGTCACCAGCAAGGGTCAAATAGAGGGGATTCAACATGTGACTCACAGGTCTGAGATGGTTTCAGGAACACTATGTACAGGTTGTTCTTTTTCAGAGGGCTTGGGCAAAGTCTAGCTTTGATGCTTGAATGCTGGTATTGAAAAACTGCCGTATGCTTCAGATGGCAAAGGTTGGGTGTGAATGCGCACCTTGTTGATGCGTCCAATGTTTCACGCTGTAGAACAGCATTGCCCAGCTTTCTGGTTGCAAAGCCAAGAGGTTTTAATATATTCACCCCGCTCAGCGGGAGGCCATTGCTACCACCCACACCGCCGATCGATACCACAGTCGCTTGACATTATGGGCGCTCACGTGCACGAAATGATCATGCATGATCATTCTAAATATGGAATTGGTCTAGACTCTAGACTTGCTTGCACATACAGCAGCAGGCGGCAACATGCATTGTCCCTTAAATTGCGAGCCTCCTGTCCAAGGACAAGCGCCCCTTCGCTCAGAAATATGGTGAAACACTGTGAAACATGTATATATGGTGGTTGCCGAATTTGGCGATGTGGGGGGGCTCCAGAGCGTGTTGTTATTGCATTCCCATGCATTTGTTCTTTTCACATCCTCGCTGTGGCATATGGGTTGCCCTGACACATGAGTCGACCGTTTATCTTTTGCATCCTGGTTTTCTGCGAAGCATTGGCTCTTGTAGTCTCTTTGTTTACTTTATATACATACCTGATTGTGCCGGTCATGAAAAAACTGTTTGAAAGCAAGAGTCCCATAATGTTCCATAGCCTGAGTCTGAAGCAAGCTAAAATAGCACATTGCATGCATGACATGTGCCAGTTCCCTGCAGACATGTGAGCGGAGAGAAAACAGACCAGCCAACGCTGTGGGTGTGCAGGTTCATGTGATGCCAAGATTTGTTGATCATGAATCTCACGCAGCTTAGATCTGAGCAGAAAGTCGAAAGTTTGAATTTGCGATCTTATTCTGCACTTCATGCCCAGAATTCTGAATGATAATGAGAGTCCATTCACAGCCTGCTGAACAACGCCCTGAGGTACATACCAGCTAGCTTGGACCTTTCAAACTTGGAAGCAAAAGCTTGCTCAAGAAAGTATATATATAGAGAGAGAGAGAGCGCGCACAAGTCACAGCTGTAGACATATCATGTGCCTCATCATGAGCAGCCCAGCTGCTCCTTTTTGGACTGCCAATGGCGCGCCACGCCAGCGAGATTTCCGAGCTTCACGTAAGATCATTGCCCAAGGACTGGTCGCCTGACATAGTGGGGTGTCCAAGCCCGAGTACCAATTTCTGGTGCTAAGGATTGAAGCATCCTTTTCACACGAATGACTCATCATCAAACGATGACAATGCCACTCCCTGCAGATTGAATCACCCTCAACTTGTAATTGTAGTTGTGTTGTCGTTTGTTTAGATTGTACTAATTACTGTAGTTGCAGCTTGACACCCCCTCGAAGTGCACATTGCCGCCTCGGAACGTCCCTTCCCGCTCAAATCACCGCCACTTGGGAGGAGCAGCCCTGGATAGCAACGCGCTGGTTGCAACGCGTGGCTCAGGAGGGCTGAACCCAAACAGCTCAGGGAGTGATTCTTGATGGCTTTGTTTGGAAAACATCCACCATCCAGACAGAAGTGTGCAGGCTGGAGATGCCGATGCCTTGGCGCATTGTTTGAGCCAGATGCGGGAAGGCTGCTTGGCGGGATGTGAGCGGCTCTCTTGCCTGGTCATATCCAAGCCGCTCCGTTCACTTCAGCATCGTTTAATCCGCCCACACCGCTTGTCGGTGCAGGGCTTTGCTGGGGGGGGCCTTTTTTTTGCGCGTGCGCGGCTATGGTTGGGCTGCAGGGCCACTGGGGAGAGCGTTTTGGAGGTACATGTTTGGATGATTTTTCGTTACGTCGTGTTTGCAGGGCCACCGGGGAGAGCGTTTTGGAGGAGTTTTTGTGTTTTGGTGTGGTTGCTGCGTTGATTCTTGCTCGGCCTGCAGGGCGTTATTTTTGGATGGCTTTTGGCAATGCTGAAGTTGTATCACCATTATGGGCTCCAAGGTAGATGAAGTTGGCCCCAAGATGGCTCCAACGCAGCCGTAAGACAGCCAACCTGGCGCCTTTTTTTTCGCGCGTGCGTGGCTATGGTTGAGCCGCAGGGCCACTGGGGAGAGCGTTTTGGAGGTGTATTTTTGGATGGCTTTTGGCAAGGCCGAAGTTATATCATCATTATGGGCCCCAAGGTAGACGAAGTTGGCCCGAAGATGGCTCCAACGCAGTCGTAAGACAGCCAACCTGGCGCCTAGATGGCTGCACTTGTCCCCAACCTGGCGCCTAGATGGCTACTTACTACTTCCATTTCACTAACTTCGGCTGTTCGTGCGCGGTGTGAGCGGCTGTCGACGCGAAGCGTCTTGAATATAAAGGGCCACGGCATCAGTGGACTCGACAGACAGAGAAGGCCCAGTGTAGCACCTAGCAGCTAGGGGAGAAACAACATCGGCCCAGGTGATTTACAGGTGAACTGCATTCATTATGGTGTCCTCTTGCGTGTGGAGCACTGGGAAGCTTCTCTGCAGACATTGGGTGCCATGCGGCACAAACACCTCGATCCAGATTCCGTCAACCGTGGCATCGTGGGGAGCTTAGTCAGCGCATCTCAAAAGCAAAGTTTGACTTCGAGTGATTCGGCATTTCCTGTGAGCCCTTCTCGGGGCCCTTTTTTGGGCCACATGACATGTCACATGTGGTGAGTTATGCAGTAATTTGGCTTGCTTCAGGTCATGCATGCAATGCGGAATGAGGGCTGGGAAAGCGGGTTGCCCCTTGGCAATCTCAACCAAGTAATTAGTGACTAAGTCCAGGTAATAACATGGAGTTCCACGGGTCAGCCCAAGTATAATTCTAATTGCATGTCTATTGTTTGAATATCAATTTTTTTGCTGACAAATTAATTAATGCTTCAGGTCTCTTCTAGATGGAGGTCTCTCCGGCAACAATGCAGCCCTTGCCTCCTGCCCTTGGGACCACTCCTTGAGCCTAAGATTACAAAATCAGGCTAATTAAACCGCCGCTTAACCAGCTCATGAACGACACAGAGATGTTCGTCGAATTCTTGCTGATACCATTTGATACCTGTCTTCAGGAAGCTCTTTGATGAAATGGCTGAAGGCAGGTTGGCATCAGATACCATCAGCAAGCTCCTTAGTACAGCAATCCCGACTCAAAATGAAGCTTCCATTGATGCTGGACCCATTTGGACCCTGACGGATCTTGTTGCGTGCTTGACTATAATGGCCCACCATCAACATGCGGATGATTCAAGGATATATATATATATCACAAACTTCTTCTCCACTGCCCCGTGGGGTGTAAGCACATGGGCGGCATTGGGCCTCCAAGGTCACAACACGCTGATCAAGGCTTTGGAAGACAGGCATTCTCCTGCAGCAGAATCAATCTACAGTTTACTTGTTCGAATTTGCTTCATAGATCTCCCAAGATCTCGGAGACTCAACTGAGTTTGAACATGTTTGATCCCTTCAAGCTTGGCGAATTTGCTCCAGTCAGGAGTTCGCGGACTTGTTCAGCTGGAATTCGGGCATTGTCGTGTCCAATGAATGGATCAGAGCCTTGGGCATTTACACGTTGCTTCGCATGGAGCACTTGCAGCCTGACACGTCACTCAGTTTATCTCAGTTCACTCACGTTTGGCGGAATTGAGAATTGGAGTGTATTATATAAACAGCGGATAGTAGTGGCAAAATGGCATATCGATAATTTTCCATGTAGCATGGGCTTGGGACCTCCTCAGCCTTTGAAAAATGAGTCTCAGAACGGTTCGAACCCATAGCATGGATGTGATTGAACTATACTATATATATACAGTATATTTATTGAACTAAGATGCTCGGATTCGCACGACTAAAGAGTATTAAAGAGTGCAGTTTCATGTCGGTTGCTGCAGCTTTGCCCAGGGTCACCTATGGTGCAGTCCTTGCTTGCATGGCCAAACGCTTTGTTGCTACTTGACCGCTCTGCTTCTTCGTGAGGGCCTTACTATGCGAGACTGACATATTATTTTGCGAGGTGTTGAGTGACCACACTGATTGTGCCCCATCCGCAAACATTTTCCTCACAGAGGCTTTGCTACAATTGTGCAGTCGTGACGGCGAATGGGAGATGGCCCTTCTTTTGTTAGCAGGAGCTTCACAACGAAGGAGACCCCAACTCAGATAAACCAGATAAGCTTCAACAGACGTTGCGGTTTGCTTCGACAATGCCATAGGCCAACATGTTGCACACGATATTTAATGTTTCACAGCCAAAGCATAAATAACATCCAGGAGATGACTTGCACAGCGCCTGAAACTTTCAATTGGCAAAAGAGGAACCGCCTATGTCTCTTTATGTTGATGTTTTAGAGCTTGCTCGAGGATTCGTTTGGACATAATCAGCTTCACTGGTGCCATCAGTGCCTGTGACCCCCCCAGCAGCTGGCATTCTTCGCTCGCTATTCTTTCTTTATTCAGGACAGCAGCCGTTCCTGCTGATGAAACGTTGTTAACTGTTCCTTGCTTGCAGGCTTATTGTATGTTTGCATCGTTGCTTGGGTTGAATGGGTTGTGCCATGGTAATTGACCCCTCAATGTACCAAATTATTACCGATGGCACACTTTTTGCACAAGCCGTAGAGCAAGTTCAGATGTGGGTTCTATGGCTGTCGACTTACATCCAACATCATGAGCCGATTGACATGTGCAATTGTTTAGGAATTGTTCTGCCCTGCAACGCTAAGGCAGCATTAACTGCATGCAGGGAGCATTGGCATCAGACGCTGTACTTATTCTGCTCACAGGACTGTGGCAGCTGGTCTTTACTTTGCCGTGTTTGACCACATCAATGTTCCGAGCACCCAAGCCCAGTGTCAATTCTTGGTCATGAGTTACATTAAACATATTAAACGTCCTTGGAGTCGTTAGATACATTGGCTGAGATTGTATTATTTCCTGCTGTAAAACAGCAGAGCCTTGCAGATGGAACACTTGAATTGCATGAAGGATAAATGATTCATCATTAGGTTTGGGCCTCCAATCATCTGCCGAGACCTCAAATACTGTACAGTCCTTTTGAATGTGCTCAGATGTTATGTGAGGACTTGAATTCAACGCCCACACAAGTGACCTATGGGGCATTGCTGTGTGCTTTGGACTCTCAGAGCACATTGTGGAACATCCCGGTAGACAGAGTTTCTTGAGAGGCCGAGACGGTTTGATTTGATGGGTTGATCTTGTTTTCCCAGGTTTGGTTCAGGGACATGTATACAGGACACCCATAGTTTTTCTGGGCCAGAAAAAACAGTTTTCTGTAGATTGTCCCTTAAACCGATGCAATGATTGATTTTGTTGCTTTGTGTGTTTCGTTTGTGCAATTTCCCTTTGTCTCTCAGTTCGCCCCCTTCACCTTCATTTGCTTCAAATGCGAGCAAGGACCGTTCGAAACAGTGGCAACGTTCTCTCACCATGCTCCGACGCATGGCCATTGAGCGGATTGCAGCCGACCATGGCATTCATGCCGTGGCATGGAAACTGGCTCTTCGAGGCCATTGGGCCAAGCTTGGCCACCTGAGAGGGAGAAAAAACATATAGAAAAACATGATGAAATGACCTACAACTCTTCACAGACTTTTTGTTCCGTGCCCCAACCCAAAACCCAGGGCTTGATGCCTCAGCAGTGGATGCCTGGGAGCTAGCATTGCGGCTTGGCCATTGTTCTGGAGGTTGGAAGTGCAGGAGTGCAGGTCCAAATGCGGCCCCTGCTCAGGTCTACTGCAGACAGCCCAGAAGTCGCATTCAAGATCGTGAGATGGCAGTTGGCGTTTCTTATTTTGAAAGCTGCTGGGCGTCACTGCATAGATTTGGCCAGTCTAGGGACCTAAGGAGTTGTGAAACAACAGCTCAGCTGTGGGGTGGTGGGTATGCCAAACGTCGTGTTGAGCAAAGCTATTCAGGCCGCCTGCAGCAGACGGGATTTGTTATGAGCAGCCTTGTGGATTTGGTTTGCAATCCCTCGATTTTGAGGCTCGAGTATGGCCTCAGGGAGACAGCGAAGGCTTCCTTGGGATCAAGCGCTAGGTACTTGGAGCAATTGGCTGCGACCTACGGCGGGGAAAGAGACGTGGAAAGCGGCTCAAATGACTCCAACAGCCTGTGGCACATTGTGCCACGATCCTTCACTTAGGATGTCTTGAAGGTTGCTCAAACCACCGGAGCGGACGATGGGGCCACTTCCTCTTGCGTGGCTGGCTGGCAATTTTGGCGTTTAGTCAGCTCCCACTGGCATGAGGCTAGCGACAGGCCAGACGTCCTATACGTTCCTAAAACCATGGATTGCCGGTTTGTGCAGTGCGCGAGCTGTTTGGCTTGACAGCTCAGCATGACAGCTTTTCCTGGTTGTTTAGTGTTTCGTTTTGCATGTGGATTTCATGGTTTGCATTGATTTACATGCCACAGTGAATTGTGAGGTTCTGGCCTCAAGTGCTTGGGAGCATGCCTTGCTTCTCTTGAAGGCAGGAGCTTGGATGTTTAATTTGACTCGAGTCACCTTTTGCATTCTTGTCCATTCCTTTACTAGTCAAGTTGATATACACTGCAGGTGAAAACTAACATGTTGGCCAATTCTTTTTTGATATATGTTAGTCTAGTTTCCGAGCGGACACCGTTGAGACTAACCTAGACCAAATTCAGATGTGCCATGGTGGGCCCTACGGGTACTTGGCATGGTCCATGTTAGCCTGCGTTCAGTTTATAGTCAGAGTGCAGTTGGTCCATGTTAGTGTCAAAATCGATCATAGACTGAGAGTAGGAACGGTCCATGTTAGCCACACGCCTGATTCAGGTTTGTGGAAAGTTTGTGTCAGTGTGGACCAGGGACTGAGAGTGGAAGTGGTCTAT